TGGGGGTCCCCTCTGAGGTGGATCAGGGGGTCTCCTCTGAGATGGATCGGGGGTCCCCTTTGAGCTGGATCAGGGGTCCCCTCTGAGCTGGCTCCCTGGCTGGTCGTCCAGGCAGTGCTCTTCATTGTTATCCAGCAGTAGGGCGGGACCCCCAACCACTGCTTTGTAAGCCACACAGTGCGTGCAAGTGGTCACCTTGGCTCTTGCTGAAATGCAGGTCTGGTTCAGTAGGTCTGGGAGGGGCTCCAGGTCCTGCATCCCTAACAAGCTCCCAGTGAGGTGGGTGCTACTGGTCCGCAGACCACATTTTTGGTGGCGTGTCCATCCCTTCACTTGGTAACCTTGCCTTCAGGACGTGCAGCAAATTCTCAAGGGAACCACCCACCAAGGTTCCTTCTTGTCTCAACCTGGAACAGTTATAAGGCCCAGGTCAGGCCTCGCCTGCAGCAGAAGATTGGTGGGGCTCAATGGGTTATTTTTAACCCCATTGAAAACGTGGATGGATGTCACGGGGCAGTTGCAGAGGACATCGTAGGTCTGACGCCCAGGAAGTGGGGAGCCTGAGAAATGTCCAGTGATGTGGGAGCCCATTACATGGCGAGACTGGGTTATGGGTTTAGACAGTTGGATGGGGCAAGATTCCCAGCTCAAACCAGAGACAGGTCTGCACACAGACGTGCTGCTCCCGGAGCCCCCAGGCCTGGGACACGCTGCATTACTCAGGGCGCTGCCTGGCCAGGCGATGCTGCAGCCAGAGGCAAATGCATTTCCTGCTCAGGTCAGCCAAGCTCCTCAGCAAGACCCAGTGCCCACCCAGGTGGGGTCGGCCCGGAGAGCACATAGCCATGGGAAGGCTTCAAAGCGATGGCTATAGCAGAGCAGGGGCTGGGCTGGAATCCCAGCTCTGCCTCTTACCAGACTCTGCAACTGGGCACGTTAGTCACCCTTCGCGAGGTTCACCCTGCACAGTGGCGACAATCACACCTACATTGCTGGTGGTCTACCAGCCCTGGATGTGCCACGCAGGCCCCAGGCAGACCCTGGCGAGTCGGCTCTCAGTCAAGGCCTGATCATAACTTGTTTTCCAGCCTCAGAACCTCTGGCCTGTAATTAATCCTAGTCAGAGATTTTTCAATTATATTTTTCAACAGACCTTTAATATTTTTAAACAATAAAACCTCATGTGGCACCCTAAATGGGTGGTGGTTCACCCCAAAGCACCTCCATAAAGACCCTGAAACTCCATGAAGCACAGTTTGTAAATCCATCTTTAATCAAACTCCTATTTGCAGAGAAAAAAGGAAAACCAAGGTTCTGATATGGAATATGATTTTCCCAAAGCCCACAGCAGGTCCTGTCTCCCTCTGGCCCACCACCGACCCTCTATAGCCTCAGGGCAGTGCTGTGCTTGGAGGAAAGGCGGTGGAGGATTGCAAGCATTTCACAGGGAGAAAGACACCACACGGGGCCACCAACTTCCCAAACCATCTGAGTCTGAGCTCCAAGCTTTGTGGCTGGGCTCCTCCACCGGACAGCACTGCCTCCTGCACTCCTGCCGGCTCCCCAGGGGAGGCAGTGCAGGGAAGCTGAGGCCTGTGGGTAAAAGGTGTGGCACGGAGCTGGCCGAGGGTACTGGGACCTGCTCTGGCCGCACCTGGCCATGGGCTGATCCTCGTGTCCAGGGGTAGGAACACCCGCAGCTGCTGTTGATGTTGATGTGGACACCACGGACGGTGGCCCCGCCGTCAGGTAGAGGGCGCTGCTGGACATAGCTTGGGTTTCATGCTTCTGGGCTGGGGAGGTGGGTAGATGAGAAAAAGCGTGAGCATTTGAATAGGACCTGAAACCAAGGGGTTTTCTCCAGCCACCGGGGGGCTGCTCTCCTCACAGCCTTAGACCGCGGTGACCCTGCTGTCTGCCTCCAGGTGCGGAGAGAGGGTCACAGACCCCGAGGCCCACAGCACCCAGGCTGTGTGAGCCGGCTCCTCGCCGGCTGCCGCGCTTCCTTCTCAAACACAAAGCCTGAGCCACGTGCCGGGTCATCACCGTGGTCATCAAGTTAGTTTCTTCCTCCTTTTCTTCTTTCCCTTTTGAGGGGATGGCGAGGTGGGAGGAAACACCTGGAGCTTGGGGTCCCTTTGCAGAGGCTTCTGAGTGAGGTCCGGGTCCCCCGGTCCTCCCCCTCCAAAGATGCACAGCTCTGCTTTGGTCCCAAGAGGCTGAGAACAGCCGCTGCCCTGCGGGCCCACCTTTCCCATCTGTAAAGTGGGGGCTGTCTCCATGGCTGCACAGCCCGCTTTCCTTGATGCTAAAGTGAAGACAGGGGCGTACCCGTGCCTGTCACACCCCAGTCGCTCCACACACAGACACTCACTTCACCCTCGTGGCCCCCAAACTGGGGATCACACTCTCCGTTTACAGGTGAGGGAGCTGACTGAGGCTTGGCCAGGCAGAGCCCTCACCCAAGCCATCAACCAGTCAGAGCAGGGACGGGACAGCCGCACCCCAGCCCTGGCCCAATCCATAGGGGCCATCAGGCGGGGCCACCATTGGCGTCACCCCTCTGGGCCTGAGCACAGGCTGCCCCGCGCGTGTGTGAAGGCCTCCTCCGGGCAGCCCAGCGCTGGCAGGCACTGAGGTGTCTGGATGTCAGCGGCCCTGCCTGCAGCCTGTGCTCCAGGACAGAGCCCTGAAGGGGCAGGCGGCAGGGCCAGGGGCTGAGACCACATCCAGGACCTGGCACCTCCCCAGACCCAGGCCCAGGACAGAGCCCTGAAGGGGCAGGCGGCAGGGCCAGGGTCTGTGACCACATCCAGCACCCAGCACCTCCCCAGGCCAAGGCTCAAAGCCGCCCAGCTGTCACCCGCAGAGCTTGGAGTGGCCTCGGGCTGATCTCCCATGATCTCCCCTCAGATGATAGAGACACAAGACTTCACTGGGTGGATCCAGGTGGCCCACCGCAGCACCATGTTGCCCTAAGTAGGGTGCAAATAGGATGATTTGGGAGCCTTCGCCGTCCCTCCATTACATAACAGTGAGTCCCAGTAAAACAGAACAACAAAGCGAAGGAGCTCATGAGCCATCGCAATTTCTTCCCGCCTTCCCGCATCAGGAGATGGGTGGCCGATACCTCTACTCCGTGCACCAGAGCCCAGGCCCCAGGCTGCGTGTTCGTGTTGGGCCATGGGAGCCACTGGCGGGGTTGTTTCTAACCCTTGAGGGAAGTGCGATACAGCTGCTGGAAATAACTATTTCACTGTTTGCTTCTACTGTTACTGTCTGCAGGAAGGATCGCTTGTCAGCGACAGATGCAGCTCATGCACAGGAGTGGGCCCTCCCCTGGGGCTGGCATTTCTCAGCGCCCGCCCTTCCCCCTGGTCTCACCAGGGCCCTCGGCATCCTGTTGCCCAATGTGCATCCTCCTCTGCACCGCACCTCCCACAGGTCCTACACAGGGCCGCGTCTCAGGGTCACAGACACAGCAAGGATGCGCCCAGTGGCCCTGAGGCCCACGGGGCTGGGGGAGGGGGGGCTGGGGAGGCGCGCCCAGCCCTGCAGTCCACCTGTGGCACAGCAGCTGCCTGCAGAGTCCAACTCAGAGCGGGCACCGTGCGGAGCACACCCCTGCGGCATGTCTGCCCGCGGGGCCGCCCCTGGAGAAGCAGCGCCTTCGAGCCAGCTCAGAATGTGCCCCCCTCCGCACTCCGAGGAGCAAGGCCGAGCTCAGCGCTTGGGTCCAGTGGCCGCTGCCCTTCACCCAGTTTGCACATTTTATGTTTTCCCCGTCTCCTTCCTTTCATGGCAAACCTTCGTTAAGGCGCCACTCCGCGTCGCCTCCTCTCTGAGACCCCCCACTTCAGCTCACTTCCCCACAGTGACAGCCAGTTTCCTGTCCCCCTGACAGTGACAACAGTGGAAGAAGGAGCCCGCGTGTAGTCACAGTCACTGGGCGCTTGGCACAGGGCGTTGCCCTTTCCTTCTGTGTGGGATTCTCACCAGGTGCCTGTGGGGTCACTTCTGTATCGACCCTGATGTTAAAGATGAGGAAACAGGCTCAGAAGGCTCAAGCACTTGGTAAGCAGCAGAGCGAGGACACAGACGCAGGTGGAAGGCCAGGAGCTGCTGTGCAATTGACTATGACATCACAGTGGCATTTACTGGCCCAAAGCCCCCCAACTCCAGGAGGCGCCCCACTCCCTTCTCTGGGAGAAGCTGACTCAGAGTGAGGGCAATGCTCACCCGGATGGAATGGCCTCCAGTTAAGAGGTGAGCTATTGGAGAGCCACTGGGAGTGTTCAAATCTCTCGTGGGGAGCATGTCCCGGGGCTCCCGTGGGTCTCGAATCCGCCTCGTGTGTGGTCCCAGCCTCAGCATCACCGAGGAGCTTTTCAGACACAGTCTCAGTCCTCTCTTCCTGGGTGTGGCCCGTGTACATTAAAGTGTAAAAACACACTTGGAATAAAAGATTCGCGAAGCCCAAGTGTGACAGGGGAGGGGTGGAGGCCGCTCCAGCTGAAGGTGCATTGCCCCCGCCCCCCCCACACACACACACACACCTCACTTGCGTCCAAGGCTTCAGTGGCTGCGGTTATGATCACACAGCATTGAGCTCAGAACGCACAGCCGCTCGTCCTCTCTTGCCTTCCTTCACAGCTCCTCAGGCTCGGGGAAGACCTGCCCAAAGGCAGAACGAGTCAGCCTGTGGGGCTCCTCGCCTGAAGCCTGAGCTGGGAACAGGTGGGTGGATGGACAAGCCCTAACCACTGTCCCTGAGCCGAGGGTACTCCAGGAGGCACCATACACATGAGCTACACTTGGCCCTTGCTTCGGGGGGTTCCTCTCTGTGACCCACCCTCTTCCAGCTGCGGCTCCCCCAGTCTTGGTGCATCTGAGAGACAGAGCCTCTCCGCGGCAGGAGCAGCAACATGAGGAGCGTCTGAGGCATCACTGCTGGAGGCAGCTTTCGGTTTAACAGCCAACCCTGACCTGCAGCTGGGGCGCTTTCAGCACGCCTACATCCATTTATTCACTCAACAGCTTTTATTGAGTAGCTACTATGTGCCAAACAGAGAGCAACTCGCCCAGGAAAACAGACCTCTTGCAGCTCTTAACCTTCACAATGCATTTCAATGCTTTCAATGGGCCCTCTGATGTCATTCAGTTGGCTGAAGTGCTCTTAGATGGGAACTACTGATACCCCAATTGTCACAGCAGCAAAAGGGGGTCACATGGTGTCATAGATGTGGAACTTGGAGCCTGTCACCAGGACCAAACAGTGACATTGGACAAGGCATTTCAACTCACTAAGACTCAGTTTCCTCGTCGATGAAATAGGGGTCACTGCTCCCACAGACCAAGGGCCCATGAGGGGCCAAGCTGTGCAAGACGTCTTCAGAAGAACTCGTGTCCTGGAGCAGGGCTTTCCGGCCTGTGATCAGGACCTGCTACAAGGAAAGTCTCTCATGCCAGGACCCAGAGCATCCGCTCATGCATATGCACACACAGACACACAGACACACACAGAGACACACACACAGACACACACAGAAACACACAGACACACACAGAGACACAGACACACACACAGACACACACAGAGAGACAGACACATAGACACACAGACAGACACACACATGCAAAGACACACAACACAGACACACACACACATGGAATAAAGGTTCTATAAAGCAGTTCTTATCGTCACTGTGTGTTTTGTTTGCTGACATATTCTATTGTGCTTAATTAAAAGAAGATTCTGGATGCAATCCACAAATGATGTCATGACCAGCGAATGGTTTGTCCATAGTTTGGAAAATACTATGGGGTGATAACTCAGGGCATCTTGTCACAGGGAAGAAGTAGAAGGATGCATGCACAGCAGGGCCCAGCATACCACAGGTGCTCTGTGCACTGCGTTCTCCTCCCCAGGCCTTCATTAACATTAAGTAGGCACTTAATTAATGTTTGGTGAACATGTGCTCAAATAGTCGTCATTGTTGTTAGGAAAGCAAAGGCTCAAAGAAAGGGCGATTGACTTACCAAGAATCCAAAAATGTAGGTCTGACTCAAGTGTCCAATTTCTTCATTTCCTTGCCCCTGCTTCCCCTCCACGGAAGATGAGGTGGGAGAGGTGGCTGGAGAGCCTGCAGGTGCCTTACCTGAGCTGGAGACAGAGAACCATCTCCATTTTCCAAGGGAGTGCTCCCCTGTACAAAGCTGCCCGCGGCTCGCCCTCCTCCCATTGCTCTCTAGCCGTTTCTTGAGACTACTTTCCTGGGGGCTGGAATAGTCCCCCTTCACACGGCTTTTCCTTTCTAGGCTGCGAGGCTGTCGCTTTCCTAATAGGCAGAGACCCCCAAATGGTGCCAGCAGAGGGTCACGCTTGGTCGCAGACACAAGGCCTGTTTGCGCCGTTTGGCATCAGAGGCTCCTCAGTCAGGAATTACCTGGGGAGGCAGTGCGGGGACTAAGCTTCCTCTTGGGCACTGGCAGGGGCCTGGGCTGCCCCCTAGCCTCCCCCAGCCTGCAGAGGGCGCCCTCTGAGGTGTCCCACCCTCAGGGTCCCCATGAGCAGGAGAGGAGCTGACAAAGGCTGAAGGTCAAAGGCAGACAGTCTTGCAGACCTGGGACCAGGCCCACACTGTGACACAGAAACCTGCATTCCCACGCAGAAGGGCCCTTGGCAGGCGGATAAACTTCAGGACTGAATGGACCTTGGAGTCAGCCATCTGAATGCCGATCAGTCGCTTACTGTCGGCCGGGAGGCCATCACCTTCCCTTCCTGGGGTCACTTCGCTGTGCTGGCTGAAGGAAAGGCAGGCGCTCAGGGCCTGCCTGCCATGGAAGTCAGTGCCAAGGCTGCCAAAGGCGCAGGGAGAAAATACCTCGGCTCCACCTCCTGCCTCTGCCCCATCAGGGATGGGGCGGCCTGAGTCCCTCGTGCTGAGGAAAAGCAATGTGCATGGATCGGGCTCCCCGGGGCCCTCGTGACCTGTGTCTGTTAGTCGCGGGTGACTGGCAGTCCTGGGCCGTCACTTCGGGCTAATTTTGAAGGAAAACTTCCCGTCACAGAGGTGACAGAGGTTTAAGAGTTCCCATCCTGCCCTAACCGGTTTGGCTCAGTAGATAGAGCATCGGCCTGCGGACTCAAGGGTCCCCGGTTCAATTCCGGTCAAGGGCATGTACCCTGGTTGCGGGCACATCCCCAGTGGGGGGTGTCCAGGAAGCAGCTGATCGATGTTTCTAACTCTCTATCCCTCTCCCTTCCTCTCTGTAAAAATCAATAAAATATATTTTTTTTTAAAAAAGAAAAAGAATTCCGATCCCTCTTCGTGAACAGCTGCCCAGAGCTGTGTGAATGCCAGTCCACATCCACCGCAGTGCTCACGACCCTGAGAAAAGATGTCAGCAACACCTCCTCACTTCTGCAACCCTCCATGCTAGGGGGTTGTCACTCTGTGGCTTATCACGTACCCTTCTTTCCGGCCCTGATCGCCTGTGTCCTTTGCCATTTTGGTCCCTGCAGAAATGTGTCCTTTCCTTCTATTACTTAGGAATAAGGACACGAATGAAAGTTTTTAATGTGCTTTTTCTCACCTGCATGGCAATGCCCTTTCCTGTTGGTGTCCACGAGGCCCGGCACACTCAGGCCTGGACGTCTGTGGAGAGCACACGGCGGAGGCTCGTGGTGCCTGGGCATCTGGGCAGGAGACCGGGAGTGTGGGCTGGAGATTCTGCACAAGTCTAAGAACAGGCCGGTCTGCTTCTGTATTGTACGCTCTCACCTCTGGGGGTGATCGCCCTCCCAGGGCCACTGATTCCCACAGACAGCAGAGAGCTGGCCTGAGAGAGCGTCTCTCACGTGCAAACCTACCAGCCCGAAGCCCTCACCCCAGACCCCTGGAGGGGCTCACACACCCAGGTCCCTGTTCTCCTGCCCAACTTCCCAGGGGCCAGGCACCAGGCAACTTGGGGAAGCGCCCCCTCCCCCGTCCCAGAGCTACTGACACTATTCAAGTTGGCCAGCCCTGAGCCTGCTCACCTCCTTGCCTGCTGCTTCCCCGGAAAACCACCTTCCCCCTGGACCACCACTCACCCCGGTGCTGCCTTGCGCCCCTCACGGCACAGAGCTGGCCCTCCCCTCGGGATCAGTAACTCCAATAAGCTGCCCCCTCAATGGCAGTCACCTCCATGGCCCTGCCACCCCCAAATAATAATACAGCCTGCGCTTGACAGCAATGAGCCCTGCGCATGTGGTGGCGCTGTGGGGGCCTCGTGCTGCCTTCACCTCCCACCTCAGCCTCATGGCCCACGCC